TTTTTTTATGATATTTATTTTTTTGATTATTAATATTATATTTATCAAAAAAAATATATTTTTATTTTATGATTATATGCTATTTTATATAGATTAATATATTTAAATAAATATATTAGATTTTTTATCGCAAATTTATTACATATTAATAAATTTAAATAATATAGATTAATATAAATTAATTAAATCTATCTATTTAATAAAATATGAATTATAATATAAAAATAGTTTATAATTATCAATAATAATAATACATTTAATTTATAGTGAAATAAATTTATATTTAAATGTTTTTTTTTATTTTTTTCCTTTATTATTTAGTTATTTACAAATTTAGTCATTTAAATAATTCACATTTAAATATTTCTAATTTATATATTAATTTTATATAAATTAAAAATAATAAGAAATGCAATTAAAATTTTCTACTTTATAATAAATAATAATAAATTAATGATTTATTTCGTTAATTGCAACAAGTACTAAAATATTATTTTACTTTTTATATGAATGAAAACAACAAAAATATTATTAATAAATATTTTTAAAATTAAAATTGTATAAGCTTTATATATAGATTGAGTTAAAAAAATAACTAAATATTGTATTAGATTTTTATTATAAGTTAAATTATATATTATTTTTTTTATAAAAATAATATTTTTTAAAAAGATATTTTATTTTATATATTAAAATATAAATTTACATAATTTTTTTTATTGTATATATTAAATTTTAATAATTTTAAAATTATTATATGTCATTTAATCAATATTAATTTTATTTAATATTTATATGCATTTATATTACACAACATTTGAATATGTTTATGTCTTTAAAAATAAATTATTTTTTAACATTATTAATCTAAATAAATAAATATATAAATAATATATTATATTTTTATCTATTTTATTTACATTATTAATATATAAAATTATTTATTTTATAATTATGACGTATCAAAATATAATTAATTAATAATTAATATTTATATATTATTAATTAAATAACAGACTCTTTAAGTACTTTACAAATTTTGATTTAGAAAAAATATTAATCAAAATATAAATAATATAAATCAAATTAACAAAAAAAGTTAAAAAATGTAAAAACTTATAATAATCCTATTATTAATAACCTTTGTTTTTGGTCTAAAAGTCCTCGAACACTAATGTGGCCATGATAAATTTAGAGAAAACTATAAATATGAATCAATCCCTTAAGATCCTGTCGAAGAATCTTCAGATATTCGTAATTTATAAAATAAATAAGCTCGTAATATGATAATTACCTATAATATGGATTATTTCAAACCTTTAGCTAATTCTCCTTTGAAAGATAAGCTAATTGGTATAATTAATAGCTGTGAGAAAGCTTTAAATTTGGCAACTCAATATTTTTCTCGTTTAATAAAAATAGTTCCAAAAAAAGAAACAGATATGAGATTTAAATACAGTAATAAAAAATGTGGATTAGTTCCAATTCCTGATATAGACAGAAGTTAGGGAAAAAATTCTGATTTACATTTATATATATCATATACAGTTGAACGAGGTAAAAATACTTTAGCTCATGCTGGTTGGTGTTAATTTATAGATAATTTAGGACCTACTCATGGTACAGTTAACTTTAATTTAGGTTTATTAGCTGCCAAAATCTGGAAGATCCTGTTGAATTTGAAGATTTAATGGAAATAGTTATCCATGAAATGACTCATATATTAGGTTTTAGCGATAATGATGTACCAAAATGGATAAATTCTAAAGGATAGCCTTATACTGACCCTATTGTTAAAGTTTATCAAGGGGAGTTTAAAGAATGTTTCTCAGAACTCCTCATGTTTTGGCATTCGCTAAAAAATATTACGGATGTGAATATTTACCTGGTATGCCTCTTGAAGATTAAGGAGGAAACGGATCTGCAGGATCTCATTGGGAATAAACAGCCATCGCCGACGAATACATGAATGCAAGTAGCTCACTTACTTAGGCCTATTTTAGTGGTTTTACAACCAATCTTTTAAGAGACACAGGTTTCTATGCTGAAGTAAACGCCTCTATGGAGGAAAAAACAACTTATGGATAAGGAAAAGGTTGTTAATTCATCACTGGTAAATGCGACTAAAGTATAAGAGAATTTTGTAGACCTGTAAAAGACGAAGGATTATGTGACTATTATCACCATGGATCTTCTAACTGTAATATTGGTGCGTATAATGACCCTGATTGTAATACTTCTAATGTGTTTTCTAATTCAATATGCTGGGATACTAATAGTGATTTTAATACAAAATAAAATTAGCTTGTATATGGAGTTAAATTTGGGATTAATTCAAAATGTTTTAACGGGACTTTATTAAATACAAATTATTAACCAGATGATAAATTGTAGGGTAATTGCTATTAATATTAATGTAATAATAGTTTATAATAATTAATTATTGAAGTAGGAAAAAACAAGGTTGTTTGTACTTAAAACTTAGCCTAAATGAAAGTTAGTGGATTTAATGGATATATTTAATGTCCGGAAAATATAAACGAGTTTTGTGGGTTTAAAAAATTCTGTCCAAATTTCTGTAGTGCAAATGGATTTTGCTTAAAAGGATAGTGCTATTGCACAAGAGGGTTTTATGGATAAGATTGCTCAAATTAAAAAAGTTTGTGACAAAAAATTATAGTTTGCTTTTCTATTTATTTTTATTTTATTAGAAAAAACTAAAAAAATTATTATTATATATAAAATATATTTATAAATATTAATTATAAATTTATAAAAATAAAAATTTATTTTATATTAATAACGTTTGTTTTAAAAAATATATAAAAAAAAAATATTATAAATAAAAATAGTATTATAAAAAAATGAATAAAATAAAATATAAAATAATAGATGGATTTCTTTTAAAATAAAGTTTTTTAATTACTTTTAAAAATTATAGAAATTATATTAATTTAATAATTTAAAAAAAAAATCAAATAATTATATTTATAATTATATATATATATATTTATAAAAAAAAATATACCTTATTGATTTCTAATTATTTAACCTGGACTTTTTTTTTATAAAAGTGAAATAATATATATGTATTTTTTTAAAAAATTAAAATTATATTATATTTAAACATGGATGTTAATAAAACAAATAAAATAATTCATACACGTTGAAAAATCATGTTTAATTTATTACTTAAATTTCAAAACAAAAAATGTATCAAAAACAGATAATAAAAATTACAAAATATGGATATTATTTTTTATTTAAAAAAACATTATATAGAATGAAATTAACATTTTTAAACTCATATAAAATTAATAATATGAAAATCAAATAACATATCAAATATAGAATACAAAAAAATGTATTATAAAAGAATAAAATTAAAATAAAAACCAATAAAAAAAAAATAAAAATTGCCATTCCATTAATAAATAAAATACCAAAAAAAATTCCTTTAATTTACAAATAAAAACAAAATCCTAATAAATCAAAGAAAAGTCTAAAAAAAAAGCATTAATTTGGTAAAAAATTGAAAAGAAAAATTAAAGAATAAAATAATTAAATATTTTAACTTAAAAAAATTAAAATAATAATTTAAAAAAAAGATAATAAAGGAAAAAATTAATGATGTAAACTAAAATTTTATAGAAGATTTAATAATGAAATAATTTTTTTTTAAAAAAATAGACTTTAATTTAGAATATTTAATTAAAATTAAAGATTTAATATTAAAAAAAATCTTTAAGTTTAAAAATTATAAAAAATGAAAATGGTAATATTTTTTAAACGAAAGAAATATAGAAAAATATATATAAATAAAATTATAAATTAATATATATATGTATATATATGTATATATATGTATATATATGTATA